CCTTACAATTTCAGCCGACAACAGCAGGAAGAAAAGGACAGATTTGACCCATTGCAGTATAAATTATCTTTCCTTCCATAAATACCCTTCAAATTGGTTCCTGTACAAATTTGTACACAATTTCAAATGAGGACAAAAAGGGGAATTGTGAGGCAAAGGTAATAAAATATTACATGGGCCATCTGACACAAAATGAGTAGGTGGGTTGCGTGTCATATTTTTTTCCTGTAGCAAAACGAGTTTTGACAAAAAATGAGAAAAAAAGGAGATTCAAACAGGGGCTTAATTACTCAATTTACAAAAAATGTATTTTAAAATATTGATTTGATGAGTGAAATGTTTCAAAAATCGCTGAACTTGTACATTGGTCGCGGATAACTCACTGAACTTTAAAATGCTTCAACTTACTCACTGAGCATATCCCGTTTGCACTTCATCCATCACTCGGTAAAATCTGTTAAATCTTTTGCTGACGTTGATGACTGAAATCCAACGTGGTGATGAATGGCGCACCACGTCAACAAAAAATAACCAACTCACATTTCAAGTTATTTAAAAAAACACAAAAATTAAATGAAATTCAAAAAAGTTATCTGTTGACTTGCTGGCACGATTTTGGAGTGAATGGACACGTTTTTAAACATAAAAAAAAAAAAAGAAAAAAAAACATCAAATACCAAATTCATAAACCCATAACCCATCATAAGAGACCCCCAAATGAGTTCCAAAACAACTCCAAAATCCCCCAAAGCCCTCAAGAACCCTAGTCCCAAATCATCATCTTCTCCAAAACCTATCCAAATCTTCATCTTCTTCTACTCCCCCATAAATCAGGAGCTCACCAAGTTACCGGATGATTGGGTCGAAAATGTATAAGGGCTGTGTCGAGGAAGACATTGCTTTGCTTAAGTTCTATGGATGGGACTTGCCTCTTGAGTGTGCTTGGATACTTTGCGTTTCGACCATGCTTTTGAAGAAAGGTGCTGAGAAGGGTGTCACTTCAGTTGCCATAGGTAACATTATGTGTAGAAAAACGGTGAAGAATGAATCCATGATGGAGGAGATAGTTCAAGAAGCTCTAGATTCCGTGCTCCCCTGCTCGAGTGAAGCGGCACTCCTTGAATCTATCTCTTGCATAATGAATCGTCGTTTTGAGGATATCATTTAATGTTGAAGCACTGAGGAATCCATGCACATATGAACATTAGTAGTTGTGAATGTTATTCAATTTGGAGGATAATTCCCCTTTAATTCTTTACTTTTTTACAATTGATGAAGCATTTAACTTGAAAATGACTTGGAGAGGTTTGAGTACAGGTTAAATATTGAAGTTTGTAACTTGAAAATTGTCGAAAGTTATTCGAATGACACTCTGTTCTGATGCTAAAATTTTTGTTTTATTTTCCATTAATGCAATGTATTTGCGTATGCTAAAACTCCTAAGGACAATTTCTAACCGTGATCAGACAAGATTCAAGTGTATTGTGGGGGCAAAAATCAAGATTTGGGACTAGGGTTCTTGAGGGCTTTGGGGGATTTTGGAGTTGTTTTGGAACTCATTTGGGGGTCTTTGATGGTGGGTCATGGGTTTATGAATTTGGTTTTGATTTTTTTTTTTCTTTTTTATGTTTGAAAATGTGTCCATTCACTCCAAAATTGTGCCAGCAAGTCAACAGATAACTTTTTGAATTTCATTTAATTTTTGTGTTTTTTTAAATAATTTGAAATGTGAGTTGGATATTTTTTTGTTGACGTGGCGCGCCATTCATCGCCACGCTGGATTTCCGTCATCCACGTCAGCAAAAGATTTAACAAATTTTACCGAGTGATGGATGGAGTGCAAACGGCATAAGTTCAGTGAGTAAGTTGAAACATTTTGAAGTTCAGTGAGTTGTCTGCGACCAATGTACAAGTTCAGTGATTTTTGAAACATTTCACTCATCAAATCACTATTCTAAAATACATTTTTTTGTAAAAAAATGAGACTCAAACATGGCCGAAGTGTCAAAAATGGGGACATTGAACCAAATTTAGATAGCATGATTTTTGTGGAGAAAGAGATGAGTACTTAATGCAGCCAGTGTTAGAGGACGAGCTAATTAAATGAGTAGTCACTGAATTTTACAATGACTTACCACTTGTTCACTGAAATATAAATCGTTAATCAGTGCTCACCGAACTAATCCAGAATTTTCCCATCCATCATCGATGTAATTTCTGCCTGTACAATTGGACAAAAATTCCACTTGACGAATGGAAAAATGATGTGGCAGATGGAAAATGTGAATCATCTCCACGTCATTTGCAAATTGTTATTTGACAAAGAGTAATGATATTCGTAGTGAAAACTACTAATAGTCATCTTACGTGACATACATGTGGAGATTTATGATTTAAAGCATTAATGTGATAATTTTTTATTAACTTATGTATCAAATCACAAACCTCCACTTATTAGCTACGTAGGGCGACTACCAGTAGTCTTTACCATGAATAAAATTACTCTTTGAGATCAAAGCATTCTGAAACCACAGCTTCTCTAACTGGGCTAAATCAGAAATTCCCTGATGAAACCATATATTGAACTCCTTCATCTCCAAATCCTAGGGTTCATTTTTGAACTAATTACTTCAATTGGCAACCCAGGTGCAATCCCAAATTCATAATCCACATCCCAGAAGTTCTCCATCCATGTCCCAATTATTTTGGATAGTTGAA